GGCACCCCCAGGCCAGCACCTCCACGGGGTACTCTGAGAACCGTGGCCGAGGTAGGGGTGTGCTGTGGTGGGCTGTGTCTGAATCTTTTCTGGGTCATTGGGGGGAGACTCAGAAACACAGAAGAGAGTGCTCCAACCCCAAGGCTTGCCCGCCACCCCCTATCTGGAGGAGGTGGGAAACCCTTCAAGGTGGGTTGCAGTGGAACCGCAGAACAGCCCCCTTCGTGCGTGCACCCTGGGCCCTTGCCTCTTAGGACTCTATAGAGTGTTGGGGATGAGAATAAAGTGGGTGCTAGAGACTCAGTACCTTTTCTCTCATACCCTGGCCCCAAGGTGGGCTGGTTTCCAGACCAAGGTGAGGGAGGGGCTCTGCCTGCTGGGTTTTTTGTTTTTTTTTTCTTTTGGTCCTTAGTTTGGGGGCCACACCCAGCGCTTAACTCCTGACAATGCACTCGGGAGTGTGGGGGACCAGATGGGATGCCGGGGATCGAACCCAGGCTGCCTGCATGCAGGGCAAACGCCCTCCCGCAGACTGTTGCTCCAGCCCTGCATGCTGTTAACCTTTGAGATGGCTCTGGGGGGTGGGGGGGTGGGCGGGGGCAGGCAGGATCGGATGAGGCAACCCCTGGTGGCGCCCAGGGAGGACCCTGGACCTGGTGCCAGCCGGGCGTGGTGATGTTTACCCTCCCGGGTTGCCCCGGTCACCTTCCCCGTCTGCATCCCTGCCCTTTGGTTGTCCTCCACCTGTGGGCGGGCGGGCGGCACCTCTCGGCCCCACGCCCCCACTCCCTGGTCCCCACTTGGGGCTCTGCAGACCCTGGGCAGGGAGGCCCGACCCGCTGTGGGGTTTGGGGAGAAGAGAGAGGCGTCCTCCACCCTCAGGTGTCCCTGTGGTGGCCTGTCCACTGTGTTTCCTCCGCCCCGTGTGTCCCGGTCACAAGGGGGCTGACCCTCAGGCACCCCAAGCTCTGCCCTGCTTCTTGGGTCAGTTTCGTCCTGTTGGACCCCACCCCCCATGGATGGTACCAGGAGGCCCTGCCCTTGTCCTGCCCGCCACTTCCCTCCTTCATCTCCCCACACCTTCAAAGACAATATTTTTACAGGGGAGAACTCCTAGCTTCCTTAAAATGTGGCTTGGAGGTGTGGTCAGCTCTGCCTCTGGGACACCCCGAGGTGGGCGCCCCATTCATGGGCCTGGTCTGTTCATTCATGACGGGTCATTAAGCAGCTCTGGCTGTGCTGGGCTGGGCGCTCCTGGCAACTGGGGTCCTCCCTAATCTCATCTGGCCTCCCCCTTCCTTTCAAAGGGTAGATTTTTTTTCCCCTTTAAGGGAAATGGGGGTGGGGGAGAGGCGGGAGGAGCCTTCAAGGAATTTTTAGGCCAGTTCAGCATTTTTCTGGGGTTGCTCCAAAAATTCCCCAAACTGTAATAAAAAAAGGGGGGGGGAATGGTGAGCAGGCATCTGATTAGTTTTGCTTTTTTACAACACAGCTTTTCTTTTGGATGCTTTAAAATGCACAACTACAGTTTGAGAACAGGGCCCGGTACAGTTTGCAGAGGGGGAGCGAGGGCCTGTCGGGGGGGAGGTGTGGGGGAGAGATCCGGAAAAGGCCATAAAGCCCGGGGAAATTAACAAGGACGGCCAGTCTGGCTAAGGTCTCGGCCAGCCGTGGGCCCCTGTGGCAGCACCTCGGTCCCTATAAGAGGAAGACTCATTTCTCTGCTGTCCTTCCAGGCTTGGGTGGGGAGGGGGGTGGGGGCAGGATCTCCTGTATCAGCCCCAGACTGTTGTGGGGAGCTGTGGGCCGTGGGCTAGCTCAGGGAACTGCTTCTCTGAAGAGATGATGCTGAGTGCTTCCCAGAAAGAAGCCCCGGTGGCGGGGACGGGGAACTCAGGGGGAATGGGATCTTGGTGGTGGCGGCCCCTCAGAAACCTTGGGGCCGCATGATGCTTGGTGGTGCTTCTGCTATGTATGTGCTCAGAGATAGTCCAAGGGAGGGTGTGGGCTGTGGGCCCATCAGGGTCCCTAGAGGGTTTTTAGGGACCTGGGCCACACAGCGCCCACTCACAGCTACCTGCCTGCCAGCACAGTGCTGGGTGGATTAACACATGCACAGCTGGAAGAAACCCCTAGACTGTCCCTTGCAGGCCCCTGCCTGCCTGGCCCCACCAGCTTCCTGCGCCCCCAGAGGCTCTCTGAGAGTCGACCGCCAGGCCAGTAGGCCCGGCCTGGGGGCCCCGCCACCACCCCCTTCTCCTCCCCGACACAGATGGGCTGGGACAGGCTGCGTGGAGCCCCCCAGTCCCTGCCAGGGTCTCCTGAGCGGCACTCGTCTGTCCTGACCTCCCCTCGTGGCCCCTTCTCGGCCAGGTTTATTACCTCGAGTTTCCTTACAAGAATAAGCCAAAAAGTTTCTTCCCGTTGCAAAACACCTTCCTCGCCCAAAAACAAGCCTTCCAGAGAGGGCTCTCTCCTTCCAGCGCGCCCTCGCACCAACGCCAAAGGATTCTTAACTTCCAGGGATGTTCTGGGCTCGCGGTGCCGCCTCCAAGAGCTGAACTCCCTCGGCAGGAAAGTTCAAAGATTGCCAGGGCTCCCGGGTTTATTAGCAGTTGATGGAGACTTTGCAGAAACAAGTTAACGTCTGATGAGTCATCCTTGCTTGGAGCCTTGTCCCCCCTCTCTCTTGTTTTTCCATATATTCCAGTGCATGTAGTACATACACACACACACACACACACACACACACACACACAAACACGCACACACCCCTCCTGTGTACACACACCAGCCACACACACACAGACTCTCTCTCTCTCTCTCTCTCTCTCTCACACACACACACACACACACACCAGCAAGCACACCACACCCTGCCCTCTCGTGCCTGTGCTTTCTTGATGCATTCTGCCCGTTTTCTGGGCTTGGATGTGGGTTAAGTCGAGCATGAGGGAAAGAAAGGAATGAGCCCCGAGTTTCCCCCCAGCCTACTATAGCTCACCTGGCCACGTGGGGCGTCATTGGAGGCGACCTGTGTCACATTGAGGTCACAGTGCATTTGTGACTTAACTCAGGATACCTCCCGGCCAGTTGGGCGGCTGCTTTAAAACTAGAAAAAAAAAGAGAGAGGGAAAAAAAAGTTGATGGCGCTCCCTGCTCCAGGCCTCAACACGCCCGCCGAGGCTGGAGGGAGTTGGTTTGTGGAGCTGCTGCCCTGACCCAGCCTGGGTGCCCCCCACCCCGGCCTCCCTATTCTACTCCCACCCTCCATCCTCTCAGCCCACTTCCCAATTGTTCTAACAGGCCAGACACACCGGAAAAAAAAAAAAAAAACGGATTCACAGCTTCGCCGGTTTGTGCCCCAGGCCCCTCACCCCTGTCCTGGGAAGAAGTGAGGGCCCAAGGAGTGTCATTGAGCGCCTGGCTTCCCCGCCCCCCCTCCCCACCCGCCGCCTTCCCCCCCCCCTTTTTTTTTTTGTTAACAAATACAAGACTTCCGGTCCCCACCCTGCCACCACAAACCACAGCCTTCCTGCAGCCTGGCCGGCGGGGAGATTTATGGGCCTGTCTGAGGCTCCCCCGAAAGGAGGAGTCGGAATGTCAGCCACGGGGGCTCCCTTTCCCCGTGCTCGGCCCCTCCTTAAAGGCCTCTGAGTGCCCGGCCAGGACAGCTCTCTCCCTCCCCCACCCCTCCCTGGCCCCGGGAGTCACCGGGTGGGTGTGGGGAGAAGGCAGGGAAGGGCGTCTCCCGGGCAGTGTTGCCCCTCTCGACGACGCACACACTCTGCTCAGCTGGAGGGAGCTCCCTGGCATCCGTGTGGGCACTCGGAGTTGGCACTCAGCCGTGCTCAGAGCTGTGTGGCTTTCCCCTTAGGAAAACATTTTCTCATGGTGGAGCGTCGGGTCAAGGACTGTCCTCCCCTGCCCTGCGTTCTGCTCTCTGGGGCCCAGGCTGGACCTGAGAATTGGGAACCCGCCCGGGGCGCGCAGTCAATGGTCTCCTTGAGTTCGGAGGGGGAGTTTGGTTATCCTGCTTGCTCTGGGGGCCACCGCTGACAGTGCTCGGGGCCTGCGCCTGGCTCTTTGTTGAGGGCTTGCTCCAAGTGCTCGGGGGACCACGGGGTGCCGAGGCTTGAGCCGTCCCACTGCCCCCACACCCACCCCCTGGGTGCCGGGTGTGACGGTGTGGGCCCCAAGACCCAGGTGCCAAAGCTCTCGGGTTCCGGTGTTCACCGGAAGATGCCCACATTGGCAGCTGGCCTTTAAGACCTGGTCCAGTCTCTGGAGCTGGATTCCAGTGTGTGCACACACATATACATTCACACACACACACACACACACACACACATGCATGAGGTCTGCTAACCCTGGTATGTGCATACACAGACACACATACATAGAGGTATATACACACACACACAGATACACACACATGCCCACATCAGGCTGCTAACCCTAGTGCATGTGCACACATAGACACACACACACACACACACACACACGTCAGGCCTACTAGCCCTTGTGCATGCACACACATAGAGATACACAAACACAGAGATAACACACATACACCTGTCAGACCTGTTAACCCTGGTGTGTGCACACACATACATACACACACACCCATCAAGCCCACTTGCACACACAAGGATACACACAGAGATAACACACACACGTCGGGCCCACTAGCCTTTGTGCGTGCACACACATAGAGATATATACAGAGATATCACACTACACACACACACATCAGGCCCACTGCCCTGGCATGAGGACCGGGCAGGGTGCCCAGGCTTGCTGACTTGGTTGCTCTTCAGCCACTTGGGCGCCTGTGCCGGGACTCTGGGCCCCAATCGGATGTGGGTGCCGCAGGCTCTGCCGTCACCCCCTCCTGTCCCGAGAGGGGGTGCGGGCAGGCGTGTCTCTCCGGGGGACCCGGGACGGTGGTGGTCCCCTCGCCCACCCTCGCTCACCACGCCCTCTTTTCTGTTCCGCAGATTCCCAACTTCTGCTGGAGCGTGGGGATCGGTCACACTGGTGCGTGGTGGCATACTGGGAGGAGAAGACGCGCGTGGGGCGGCTCTACTGCGTCCAGGAGCCCTCCCTGGACATCTTCTATGATCTACCTCAGGGGAACGGCTTTTGCCTCGGACAGCTCAATTCGGACAACAAGAGTCAGCTGGTCCAGAAAGTGCGCAGCAAGATCGGCTGCGGCATCCAGCTCACGCGGGAGGTGGACGGCGTGTGGGTCTACAACCGCAGTAGTTACCCCATCTTCATCAAGTCAGCCACACTGGACAACCCGGACTCCAGGACGCTGTTGGTCCACAAAGTGTTCCCCGGCTTCTCCATCAAGGCGTTCGACTACGAGAAAGCCTACAGCCTGCAGCGGCCCAACGACCACGAGTTCATGCAGCAGCCCTGGACCGGTTTCACCGTGCAGATCAGCTTCGTGAAGGGCTGGGGCCAGTGCTACACCCGGCAGTTCATCAGCAGCTGCCCGTGCTGGCTGGAGGTCATCTTCAACAGCCGGTAGCCGCGGGGAGAGGCCCAGGGAGCGCCGAGCCGCCTGCTCTCCACTACTTTGCTGCTAACGTCCTCCTCCGAGTGCTTGCTTTCCCCTGCAGGCTCTGGCCGCTGTCCCCGTCCCCAACCCCAACCCCACCCCACCCCACCCCACCCCACCCTGCCGCCCTTTCTCGCCTCACCTCGGTTCCATGGTTTGTGTTCACCAAGAAATTAGCTTATGGAAAGGATTGTTGTTGGAGGGTTCTGGGCAGCGGGGCGGGGGACACATGGTGGGGGGCCCCGCACACCCCTGCCTGGAAGAGAGGCGAAGAAAAATCGCCATCCCTGAGTGAGGGGTTCAGGGTGGTCATTGCCATCTGTCGGGAGCGAGTGTGTGTGTGTGTGTGTGTGTATGTGTGTGTGTGTGTGTGTGTGTGTGTGTGTACGACAGGTGGGTGGGAGGTGGCGGGAAGGTCCCCCACACATGTGCGTGCTTCTCCATGCCTGCCTCTCAATGCCCTTGGGGCGTGTTCAGAGGGTCCAGTGGCCGCCCCTGCGAGGACATGGGCTGCCGGCTGACCACATCCAGTGTTTTCTCTCTGCCCGTCCTGCCCCCCTCCGGCCACCCTGCTGCCCCGTCCTGTCCGTTTCATTGGCCCTCTGCTCCTGGAACTCACGGTATCGCCCCTCCTGATGCCCTCCGAGGCTCTCGGCCTCTCCCCTGCCCTGGTTACATCAGGTCCCTGCCTACCCACCTCCCCCCACACCCCCCCACTCACTCAGAAAACCAGCTCAGCACTTTCCTCCCCCTCCCGGCCTGTGTGTGCAGCTCTGCAGTCAGACCAGCCAGGGGAGGGCCCCCCTGTCTCCCCCTCTTTCCCACTGAGAAGGATTTGGTCCATCCTAACTCTAGGTACCATCCCGGGCCGACCCCTAACTTCTTTCATTTCTTCTACAACTCATACACTCGTATGATACTTTGACACTGCTCTTAGCTCAGTGAGCATGTTTAGACTTTGACATAAGCTATTTTTCTAACTACAAAGGTTTAAATGAACAAGAGAAGCATTCTCATTGGAAATTTAGCATTGTAGTGCTTTGAGAGAGAAAGGACTCCTAAAAAAAAAACCTGAGATTTATTAAAGAAAAAATGTATTTTATGTTATATATAAATATATTATTACTTGTAAATATAAAGACGTTTTATAAACATCATTATTTATGTATTGTGCAATGTGTATAAACAAGAAAAAAATAAAAGATGCACTTTGCTTTAATATAAATGCAAATAACAAATGCCAAATTAAAAAAAAAAGATAAACACAAGATTGGTGTTTTTTTCTATGGGTGTTATCACCTGGCTGAATGTTTTTCTAAAGGAGTTTATGTTCCATTAAACAATTTTTAAAATGTATCCTTGATTCCATGTCATTCTCCAGCTCCTTTTTTCTTCTGGTGGGAGGGGGGTAAACCTCCAATCCAGGCCAGTTAGGGCCTGTGTGTGCACTGGGGCTTAGCTGGGGGTGGAGGGTTACACAGGGAGACATTCGGATCAGCTTATTCTTCTCTTGGGGCGGGGAGGGGGGTTGGCCCTGGTCATTCCTCAGAGCCCGAGAGCCAGCGGTGGTGACGGGGTCGGGGTGAAGGCAGACACTTCCAGGTCCTTCCTCCTCCCTGACTGTCCTCGGCCTTTGGCCCAGAACCCAGGTGCCTTTCCCATGGAAGATTCTGTCTCCTAGGTCCCAGGACAGGGTCCCTGAGCAGTGAGGCGGGGAGTCTGGCTCCCTCCTGGGTCCCCAGCTCTGAGAGGTGAAGCGGACCCCAGGGGCTACCCAGTGGGGCCCATGGCAGCGTCTCCCTTCCCCTAACTGCCACACTGACCGACCCCCCACCCCCCGGAACGGCTTGTCTGTGCCGTCTGAGGCAGCCGCGTGATGGGCTCACATTGTAGATGCCAGGAGCCTGGCAGGAGATGTGGTTTCAAGTTGGGCACCAGACGCAGGCCTGGTGGAGCCGGTTCTTGCACCATAGGTCCGTGGAGGGGGTCAGTTGGAAGGGAGGGTTTGAAAGGGTTTGATTTCTCAGGGAGAGCTCAATGTGCTTTGCATAGCAGAGGCCAGGGTTTGGTTTGGTTCCCAACACTGCACCGTCCCCTGAATCTCACTGGCTATGGTCCAAAAAGTAGGAATTTGGCTATCAAATTCAGTTTTTTTTTCTAAATTTTTTTATTTTTGAAATTGGGAAGAAGGGAGAAGAAAAGAAATTCCCCGGCCTCAGAGGAACTTCGTATATAACTAAGTTCTGGGCTGGAGCGATAGCACAGCGGGTAGGGCATTTGCCTTGCACACGGCTGACCCAGGTTTGATTCCCAGCATCCCATAGGGTCCCCCGAGCACCACCAGGAGTAATTCCTGAGTAACTCCTGTGCATCACTGGGTGTAACCCCCCCAAAAAAAATTTCCCAAATTTACAATTAAAAAAAATATTTTTTAGGGCAGATGAGACTACAGGGGACAAGGCGCTTGCCTGGCATGAGGCTTAACCCAGTTCCATCCCTGGCATCTTATGCCCCCCTCCCCAAAGTATTGTTAGGAGTGATCCCTGTGTACAAAGCCAGGAGTATGACCTGTACTGTCAGGTGTGGCCCCAAAAAGCAAAATAACCTTTTTAGGGGCTGATGAGATGGTCCAGCAGGTCGGGCACTTGCTTTGTAAGCAGCTGACCTGGGTTCAATCGCTGGCATTCCGTATGGTTCCCCCCGGAGCCCAGTCAGGAGTGATCTCTGGGTGCAGAGCCAGGAGTCAGCCCTGAGCACAGCTGGGTGTGGCCCCAAAGCAAAACAAAATGAAAAGCTCTCAGGGTGCCAGAGAGCCCAACAGTCCAGAATGCATCTCTCGCATGCAGGAGGCCCAAGTGTGATCCCCAAGCATCCTCCTTGGTGTCCCAGCCCCAAGCCCTTGAACTGGATGTGGCCCCTACAAGGAAAAAACCAAACAACCAAAGAACCTCCTTGGAGGCCAAGTGAGCTCCTGATTTCACACGGTGTGAAGGACACAGCACCCAGCCTCGAGTCCCCAGTGCCCTGTGCGGGGAGCTGGCGGGCCGAGCGGAAGGGCCTTCTGAGGTGCCGGGTGTGGGGATCGCGGCCGCTTGAACTGCTTTTTGCCTTTTTTTCTCTCCCCTCTTTAGTTGACCTGAAACCCGCCTCCTTCTAGCTTTGTAACCCCCAATAAGCATAAAATCCTATCTCTGGAAAGCACCCAAAGAAGGTTCTAATTAACTCTGGGGTGGCAGGGGGGAGGCTGGGGGAGGTGGTACATTAGGGAACTGTCAGTCATTTCGGTTTGCTCTGACTTGCACGGGCACGCCGGGAAGCTCTTTAATAATAATAATGGTTCCCATTTATTGAATGCCTAACTAGGTGCCAGGCGGGATGTGACGCGTTTGAGGGAGTGATTCAATCCTCACTAGGACCCTCTGAAAAAAAAAAAAATGGAGCCTTGCCAGGTGGGAAGATGGTCCGCGGGCGGGGGCACAGAGAGAGAGCTCAGTGGGCCGAATGCAGACCGCTGACAGGAAGCTGGGATCCATCCCAAGCACCCCCGGAGTGAGCCCCAAACACTGAGTCCGGGATAGCCCCTGAGCACTGCTGAGCATGCTCCAAAGACAGCAGTGAAAAGAGAGTGTCCAAGGGACCCACGTCATGGGTCAGTGGCACCACGCCCACCTGGCCACAGTGAGGCCCTGGGTTGGATCCCTAGCACAGAACTTAATCCAGGTGATCAGACAGCAGTGTTCAGGGAGGGAGGCGGGGGTCTGGCGCCTGGGCCCAGGGCCTGGAAGTTGGGAAGAGGCGGGTCTCCGTGCCACCACCTGGCCGGGTGACGGGAGCGGGCAGTGTGAAGCCAGGAGCGGTAGCTTGGGCCACGGCACCTCCAGGCTTTCAGTTGCTTGAACTCAACTTGCAGCCTGGGGGCTGGAATTGGGCCTGGGGACGAGGAATCTTTGGAGGAAGCCAGGCGTTTGCTCTTGGTGGGGGGAAGGACCCCTTTTACTAGGACAGCAGCAGCGCCTGAGTCCCTGCCCCCTCAGCCCCAGTAGCTGTACGTTAGGGCCTCTCAACCCTGACCAGCAGGGGGTGAGGGTAGGGGGGCGTGGTTCCCCTGCTCTCTGGCGCTCTGGGCCTCACCCCTCCGGGTCATTTCCGGGTGCCCCGTGACTCTGCCTCCTCTCTCTTTTCACACCACACCCTTTTTTGAGGCCTCAGCTGCCCCCATGAGAAACTGAGTTCTCCCCCTCCCCCTCCCCCACCCCCTCCCACATCCACCCTGTTCAACCTCAGTCGTGCTGCAATCACCCACGCAAATGTCTCTCCCGGGATCCTTTCCTCTCTTGTATCAGTTTCAGCACTCCTAATGCTCCCTCTCCAGCACCTTATCCAGTCCAAGTGGCCTTTCAGCAGCCCCACCCTTCAACCCCACCCCCTCCACACACACACACACACACACACACACACACACACACCTGGGGCTCCAGTGTCACCCCACCACACACACACACACACACACCCGGGGCTCCAGTGTCACCTCACCACACACACACACACACACACACACACACACACACACACACACACGACAGTGCTCTCCTGGGGCCATTTCCTTATCTCAGGATGCATCTGAGCTCACACCTCCTCCAGGAAGCCTCCCACCCTTAAATATATCTGCCCTACAGAGGAGGAGGAGGAGATCCTTCTCCTTCACTTGGTGCTCCGTGGTCTCAGTGGAGGTCCCAGTCAGGAATCATTCCCCGAGACAATTCCTGGCACTGTGCTCAGACCAGAGGGAGAGTGGGAGGGAGAGGCAGAAGGGGGCTGCGTATCTTGGACCCAGAAGAATAAAGGAGTGACCTGACTCCACCCTTGAGCATGGGGATTGTCCCACAGAGCCTTGCGACTTCCCGCCCCAAAAGCAAATAGCATTATCAGCAGCCCCACTCTTGGGATGCAGCAGCTGAGGTTGGCAGCGTTGCCCGAGGTCCCCGTCCGCTGACAGGTGGCCCGGTCCGGTTTCATCACCTCTGCACTATCTCATCTCCAAGCGCAGGCCCGGGTGACTGTCTGGCCCATGTTTTTTTTTTTTTATTTTTTTGCTTTTTGGGGTCACAGGTTGCACAGGGGTTTCTCCTGGCTCATGCACTCAGGAATTACTCCTGGCTGTGCTAGGGGGGCTACTCGGGGGACCATATGGGATGCTGGGAATCGAACCCGGATTGTTGCCGTGTTTTTTTGTTTTGTCACACTTGGCAATGCACAGGGGTTACTCCTGGCTCATGCACTCAGGAATTACTCCTAGCGGTGCTCAGGGGACCATAT